AGATGGACATCCCACTTGACTGTTTCTTAAGACACCTGTGAAAATTCACTCTACTCACTTGTTCGGTAAGTCAATCGGTTGCAAAAGGAAAGCTAGGTATATTTGATACATTTTTCTTCACATTTTAACATTGCTGTGAAGAAATGAGCCAACGAATAATATTAGAAAACGTTTATTTTCAATATGAAAATACATACATAAAACATACAAAAAATCATGAATGACAACACCTAAAAATTGTCTGTATCCTCATAATATTAATTATTTGTACCTTTACGTATGAATTTGATGTCTTGTGGTGTCTGAGACATCCTATTACTTCATTTTTTTACTTTAATTTTTTACAACTTTAAACGAGAATATTGATTCCATAACTAAAAACATTGTTTCGAAAAAATATATTAATATGACATCAATATTTCAGTCTGTGTTTAGATGTTGTGGCATAGCAGATGGCAAGCAGGTAAAATGGCTGAAAAGCAATAAGTGCAGTAACTGGAGAAAACGAGAATACTACACATGAATTTACGGAAAGCTTTGGATGAACACAAACAGTCAAAGAACCCAAAATATTTCGATATCTCACGAATTATATAAATGAAACTCCGGCATACCTCTGTCGCATATTTCTATGCTCCCTTAATGTAAATATACATGTATTTTGAACGATATATAACTCTGGTGAGCTCTGTATTTGCTTTTAGATAATAGTGAAATAATATTACGAAGGGATTTAAACATAAGAAACGCATTTGTCTATCGGAAACCAATTATAGATTGGAGAGGTATCAGATGTACAAATGGTAGTTTAGAGCCAGTTCGATAAACTGGTTATTTCATACGCTAAAAAGGATAATTATATAAAATTTGAAGTGCTGCAAGACCTGACAATGACAATAGTTATAAATTAAGACCCTTGGAACTACCCCAATATACCTTATTATTTGCCGGACCTACAAACAACTGTTCTAACTTTCTAGATAACTCCATTCTATAAGACTCTATTTTCGTCACAGTCAAATTCTTTCAGGTACACCAGGGTCTTCTTGAGTTGCAGCCAGTAACTTCCCTATGATGACTCAACAGCTTTTAACAGAAACACATTTATTGAATGTGTCGCAAAGTACCTCGCCCATAGCCTAATCGATTTTCTACTTTGACTTGATCCTTTTTCCCTATGTAACCAGCTAAAGTTGTTATTAGCTACTTCATACTACTCCAGTGGAAAGATATTAGAAATAGGATAATTGAAGAGTCTAGGTCTACCTCAAAAAAAAATGCCCTTGGAGTTCGTGAAAAATATCGTTATTAGGAGGTGACTGGTGTCTTACTTTCTAGACTGAAGTTAACATTTTGGGTTATTTTCGTAAATTCACTTGCAATTTCCGCTAATAAAATACTGTATTGTAATGTTTCTTATATGTATTCCTAGAGGCGGTTTTTTCGAAAATCGCCGAAGAGGGCACAGTGTTATTTAACTTTTGGAAAGATCCTTCAATGAAATATTTTAGAATCGTTCTTTGACGGGTGTATTAATATGACATAAATGAATTTTTTATAATGGGATGATTGTGGTCTGTTCACAGCGTTTTCTCCACGTATCACTCGGTGCGAAATTTCAAATGCGGCTGCTCTCTACAAGAAGCTTGTTTATTATAGTGGTTTTGCAATGTATCTCCATGAGGTCATGATCGTTGTGTTGGCGTGGAAACCTAAGACGTCATTATTCGCTCCTGTATGGGTTTGTTATGGCGTGTAGTGTGATGTGGATCTTGTAGATGGCAAATGATTGAAAGGCGAAAGCTCATCCAACCATGAGCCTATTGAAAAGCCTGAATTGGTGTAATTTTTCTTTCGCCAGATTGCGAAAAGCCTTCTCAAAGTGTTTAACTCGCTTCACCTGAAATGATAGGAATGTGTAAATCGAAATGTTTGCTTCAATGTTAGTGCTATGTATACAGCTGACATTACATGCGCATAATTATATTAAAATAGATGGAATTACAGTTATGTGCGCTTAGATGTGTGATCATAATGTAATAATACGAGCAATTACGTCATAGCCCGTTTGTAACTACTAGGCAAGGTCTGGAATGACAACATGATTTGAATGCTGACTATTTAAAGTACCTACGTTCTAGAAATGATAAAAGTACCAGGACTTGTACAGAGTAAGGATAGAATGTTATAGTAGCTTGGCTTTATTTTTTTTGCATAGTCTAATGCGAAGGCTAAGACATCCCCTTTTCCTAGACCCCATTCAGGTGAAGACAACTGTTATGTTATTCCTAGTTTTAGCTGAAGATGTAAAATATCTTATTAGCAACATGGATTTTGATTTGTTTTATAAAAATACATACTTATAACATCTTTTTATGAATATTTGAATTGCTTCTAAATCGATTCCTTATTCTTGATATGAAATTCGGAATAATATTTCAGACTTGCTTTAATATACCTGAAAACGACGCTAAAATATGCAACATTACGTATTTTGTTGAGTAGAATACAGATCTATTAATAAAACCGCATTCGTAATAGAGGTCCAACGAATTTTATAATATAGGATGTCTCGAATGCATGCAAACCACTAACACACAAGTTCTATTGTAAATGGAAATTTGCTTTTCTTAAATAACTTTCGAATCATAGCGATGATGTCCATAGAAAACAATAAACTTAAGACAGTCAGAAACAAACATAGAATAAAAGCTCAATGTTGACATTTTTTAAAAGCTGCATTCTTTGCAAAGGAGACACTCTAAGTGCAGTTCTACCTCGTACTGGGTACAGTATACTAGTTCCGCAATTTAAAAAAAAACAGTAAGTTTCATAACAGGTCCGTAATCAGCGATTCAAGGATCTCTTAATAAAGTGCTATATTACGAGCCCCTTCCCACTTCAGTTGGCCCAACTATTGAAATCTTAGTTTTTTTCTTATCAAACACAAATAATAAAAATGTAGCAGGGTGTTATAGGTTTAAAATATTAACAATGAATATTTTGATAATATATAGTAGAAAACACCAACTTTATCACTCCTTAATCAAATTTGCAGCATAAAAATAACACATGTTGCAATTATAGCATATCAACCTATTTTCATTTCAATGCAAAATAAGTCTATAACGCATAGGTGGCTGTGAAAAATAAAAGCCATGACAATTGTTTTTATTAATCACAGCTGTCAGAAAACTGTTTTGGGTAGTTAAGGTTTTCAAAATGGGTAGAGGAAAGGTTATTAGTGAGAAAATTCGGTTAATTATAATTAAACTTTTTAATTCTGGGAAATCAAACTCAGAAATTGCAACTTTGTTAGACTTATCGCGGTACAGTGTGAGAAATATTGTTAGAAGATATAACGTAACTGGTTCAGTTAATATTAAGCCACGATATGTGAAAAAAATTAATATCACAAATGCCGACCGAATAAGATATAACGTAACTGGTTCAGTTAATGTTAAGCCACGATATGTGAAAAAAAGTAATATCACACATGCCGACCGAAGAGCATTAAGAAGAACAATTGTAAAAAACAGGCGTGCCAATTATTTACAATTAAGTGCTCTATGGAGTGACGCTGTTGGAAGGAGAATTTCGAGGTCCACAACTCATAGAGAGGCCCACAGACTGGGATTTAGCACTTGCAAGGTAAGTTTTCTTATTTATTCAAAAAAGTTAAGTAAAAACCCTAAAGTTGCACAGCTTGTTTATAGGCCAAAGAAAAGCCACTATTAACTCCACTGCAAAAGAAAAATCGGCTTAGATGGGCTAAAGAACATAGACAATGGATACCTCAACAATGGTGTGCAATACAATGGAGTGATGAGGCCCGATTCGAAGTTTGTGTTGGTGACAGTCGCAGTAGAGTTATTCGCAAAAAAAATGAAGCAATCCATGTTGACTGTCTGAAGAGAAAAGTGAAATTTCCAGCCTCCATTACGGTCTGGGGCAGTATGTCATCAAAAGGAGTAGGAAAACTTCATTTTATTGATGGAAATTTGGATACAAACAAATATTTGGTAATTTTAGAAGAATCGCTTTTACCAGTGATGGAAGAATGTTTGACATCCGGCCAAGATTTTGTGTTTCAGCAAGATGGTGCAGCGTGCCATACCTCACAAAAGGCTATAAAATGGATGGAAAAAAATAATGTACCACTTTTGAAATGGGTTTCTAGCAGTCCAGATCTGTCACCTATTGAAACTTTGTGGCACGAGATGAAAAAGGTTCTACGACAACATCCTGGTCGTACAATCACCGAACTGAGACAAAAGCTTCAAGAATTATGGGATTGTTTTACATCAAATGTTTGCCAAAACTTGGTTAACACTATGCCCCAAAGAATTTCGGCCGTAATAAAAAATAAAGGTAATGTTACCCAATGGTAATATTTCAATTGTTGCTTATATATGTATTTTTTTACGACTAGAGTGTATCTAAAATGTTTTTGAGAAAATAAATTTTTTTAGAAGTAAATAGTTTCGTCATATAAAGGCATATTTTGGTACAAATCTTGAAGTGGGCCAATTGAAGCAGGAAGGGGCTCGTATTTGATTTTTGGTGTTTAGTTGAAATGGAAATAATGCGAACATTTTTAAATCAAGTCTGTTTTTCTCAAAACGCTTTTTCTTTGGCTAAAGGAAGATCACCATTATTGTATAAGAGCTAGTCCTTCCGTGACTGTCTAAATGTGTTCCATGGGCACCACAGCATGTATCATTGTCATATGAAATTTCTTTATAGGTACCCGTGGCATAACTATATTGCATATGCATCCTAGACGTTACCATTTTATTCTGAAATACCATGTACACAGGATGACTCGGAAAATCAGGGCAACATTTCTGGGGTAAAAAGTATACCCAAAAATGATATACGAAAAGTTCTTCTAAATTTGCTCCTAAACTGCCACCTAATCTAGTCACAGGGTAGTAAACAATAATTTGGAAATCGGAAATATATCTCTGTGTTGCGACTTGACCTCTTGTACATGTAGTTCTAACAGCATGGCCAATAAATACAAAAATTCAGTGCTTGAGGTGACACCAGTGGCGTGTAAATTGGAAAATGTTAACCCATGCTGAAGAAAAACGAAGATTTTATTATTTCATAGTTCACTGACTTTTTAAAATCAACAATTGAATCGGACACAGCAAAAACCTCGTAAGTTCCAGAATTTGAATTTTCCAGGAGACAGTTAAAATTGTGGTACTTATAATATGTATACCTTGAATACATATCTACATTTAATGAAGCGTTTTATCCTTCAGATTCAGAAGTGACGTAGAAATATACAACACTGATTGGTTATAAAAAATATTTTTCTGGTTTTGAACGTACTTACTACTTAGGAAATATTGCCACGTTTGTCTGCTTTATTCTGTAGTACGTACTGGATAAATAAAAAACAGTTCCATGAATCGTAAAACTGCGTAGCAACTTTATGATCAATTTAAAGTTTCCGAATATTAGTTAACAATGCCAGTGCAACCCTCAAATTGACACACTTCTTCCTCTTTGCTCTTCCTCCTTCTTTCCTTTCTTTCTTCTTTCCTTTTTTCTCTCTGACTTTGTCTAGTATCCGAGCAACCAGACCTGGCAGACCTATTGACTTACAATACTTTTTTTACCAAGGGTAAAGGTCCTACGGGCCGGTCTCACAGATAATCTGCGTAGCATTAGCACAGTTAGTGCGTGCAAATGATTCAGTATCAATATCATACTCTGTACACCATGCGAAACGTAGCTTCATCATGTTTGCCCCTCTGTCAAAGCTTCAAATAACAGTTTTATTCATTTCTAATTCTTATATATTTTATTGGGAACTGGATGAATGCGGATACGTAAGGTATCATTGGAGTAAAATGAGAAAATCTTGCTAGATATATAAAAATATTCGTTTCATAATCTAAAATTAACCCATTAGAACCAAAGAAAATTATATTATCCAGGTACATTTTCGTTTGTTATAAACACTTATTGAATCGGAATATGTTTAGAGATAAAACAACGAAGCGACAAGATAAATGCTGATTATGCATCATCATGTAAAGAATGTAATATTCATACATACATTGACTTACAGATCGTCCCACCTGTTTTTTGAATAGATCAGCAAGCTGAAGTTGGGAGTGACGATTTTTTTGCGAAAGTTACACTTGTGACATTATCTTTAAGCTTCTTTATCAACCCCAGAGCATACATTTTAAATGACAGCTTTTGCCATTTTCTTTTTTAACACAACCATCGTACTACTTTAGGACCTGCTAAATTGATCAGTTCAATAGGCGAGTTGACACTTTGCATAAATAGGTCTTAAATAGTTAATATTTGTTGTGATAAACCAAAAAAAAAATTAATAACATATTTTTTCAGGCCTTAAAGATTTTACAACTTTAATTTAAAAATATCTTAGTCAGGTGAAAACGCTGTCCGTCATGTTTGGCCCATATTAATGTGCTCTATTACGTTTATTTCTAAACAGCAGCTGACAGCAGTATAACCTCTCAAACTTTTAAACATATAAATCTGTCTTCTATTAGCTTACATGAAAATTATAGTAATTATCGTTACTGCATCAATCAGGAATGTAAAAAGTCATCGATAAGGACCCCAGGAAAGCTGTGGATTAGAGTACCCAGCGACATAAACATACTCAGTATTAAGTATTGCTCACCTCGATAGAGCAGAAGTCTGAGTTGGGGCAAAAATATTACCAACCATGAATGTGTCAATTTTCCGCTTTCTGCTTTTAAGAATCCAACGACCAAAATTATTTTTTCAATAAAACGAGAAAACAATAACTTTTTACGTTGATTAGGCAACGTTAGTCTACGGGTGACATACGGATGAAGTTTATTTGCTTACAATTTGTATGACATCACATCATGGCCGATAGTGTTTTCATCGTATTAAAAATTTAAAACGATATATAGCCTAATTTATACTATGCAATTAGATATGAGTCAAGTAGCCTATTCGGGGGGTGGTCTTTTGAAAAGCACGGTACAATCAATGTATGTATTAATATGAATTTATGTGATTATTCCTTGAAATATATTTTGTTAAGTAGATAGTATTGCAGAATCAGTGCGTCTAAACCAACGGTCTGGAGAAGTTATTAACAACAACTTCCGCTATATCTGCACCGGTTTCGATAAGCTTATTTCCTATCCCTATAAGACCTTTACCAAATTGTTGTATGATGTCATTCCCTAGACTTACCGTTGCCTCAATTCCTTGACCTATATTAGCAATAGGTCTAATGTTTATCCTAATTGGTATATTCATACCATGATTTGGTACTGGACTTAACCTTGTGGTAGGAATTCTGTTGACGAGATTTACAGTTTTGGCAGTTGGTACTTTAGCATTACTAGGATTTGGCTTGGGTGTTGCAGTAGAGCTGATAAAATGTTTTTGCGTGGTAGTACTAGTCGTAGGTGTTGCTTTTGTGGAAGTGGGTTTGCTGGTGGTTGTGGTCGAAGCAATTGTGCTACTACTGATGGGACGATTGGTGGATGAAATGAAGCTGGTGGTAGATGATGGCTTGTTAGTTGTATTTGGATCAAGCGAGCTAGAAGCTGAAGCTATGGTATTTTCCTCATCGTTTCCGAATCTGTTCAGTATTAGAACTACGGGAGTTGTGGTTGATTGTCTGGTTCCCGAGTCCCTATTTCCAAAGGTTGCTTCGAACCGTTTCACGTAGATGTCTTCAGGATCCCATTCTTTTTGCAGTTGAGCCCATACTTTGGGGTACTCTTTCTTCAAACGTCTCACCGCGCGAAGTGTTACTGTCTTCTGTTTTTCTGTACAACGTTCGCAATTCGTTCGAAGAGCTTCCGGAAGAATTCCTGAAAAGTAGAACACATTTGTTAAAATTGCTGGTAGCTATTGAAGATATATCAACTACACGTGTTTTTTTTTTAGCCTACGGTATAGATGGTTTTTACAACTCATCTGGTAAATGGACAGGATCTCTCATTTAGGCCTGATTTTACTAAGCTCGGACACAAAAGATACCGTGAGCCACAAACTCAGCCTATGAGAAGGCGTCTTTGAAATAATGGATTTAATGAATATGGTCGATTTCTTGTAAAATTTCGCTCAAACTAGAGAAAAATTATATGTTTGGAATCAGGAAATAGGTCATAAATGACTTGGCTTAGCAACAGAAACTTATTTTTTAATTTGCATCTGGACACTAAATTAGCGGCCATGATCATACAGGGTGTTTTCAAAGTTGAGTCATTCATTTAACAGCTTGTAGAACTCGTCAAGAGAAGTTGATATACCAAAAATCACCTATATAAAAGTTGCATAATAAGAGAGTTAGCGTACATTATTGAGAATTATTAAAAAAAATCATTATCAAGTTAAATGGATACCGTTTTAACAAAATCACTAGCATTTTCAGTGTGCTGTTGAAGTTCGTCCAGAGTATTTACTGCTTCATCATGATTCACCAACTCTTTCAAATGAACTACAACATAGCTGAGTTCTTAAATAATCCAAAGCCACCGTTGCCGCGGCGCAGCGTGGTCGCGTAGTCGTTCTACCGTCCAGTAGACAGCGCGACATCTTCCTGTTGATAGTAGGTAAATTGATTATTTACTCAATGTTTGAGCATTCTGTAATTTTATTTATGTATCCAACGAATTTATTAAGCAGAATTTTGTACAGCAACAGTGAGACAATGTTATTTTCAATAAAATGCTCAATAATGGCGTCATCTTAATCTGTTGTATCAGGTTTGATCAACGTTTCGAGAAGGCCCCAAATCCTTTATGATTGATGAGATTTGCATCAACTTTTGTGTTCGGATACAAATGAAAAGTAGTTTTTTGTAGCTGAATCATGTGATTATGAACTATTTCTTGATTTGATATGTGAATTAGGAGCTCATTCACAAATCGTACAATTCTTCTCTACCTTGAGAGAAATTTTACAAGGAATCGACCAAATTCATTACCTCAAAGACGCTTCCTTATTGGAACAATTTGTGCAAAATTTGGATTCCCGCGGGGCCTTGAGATACAAAAAACCTGCTGGGTAACTTTTTTGTTGAAAATCGAAGTTAAAGAAATTGCATATAAATACATTTTTTCTTTAAACGGCCTTGAATAACTAGAAATCTGCTGAGGCTGTTTTGAGCATGTTTAATGAGAGTTTTTTGGGTGTTCATCTCTACAAAACCTTCGACTTTTGGTTCTTACTCCAGATTTTCTGTTGCGCACTTTTCGAGAGAAAAGAAATTTCCTAATGGAAGGTTTTTAAAATCTTAGATGTAGTTCATTTTTCGAAGTTATCGACATCCTTGGCTAGTTTCATAGCAACGTGAACCCATTTTGATCAATATAATTTTCAATTCTCACGTTGCTTCGTTCAATGATGAGTCTGAGCTTATACTCTGACGTGGCAAGTGTCAGTCCCCTTTTAGCTTTTTTCTGCATTTCATGCTACCTGAATCTGCAAAATGAGACAGGTGATTTTCCCCCATTTGGGGACATTTTGGGATGCATAACTTTCTGGGAATATTGGCATTAGGGATATTCTAATTTGCTCCCTTTTCTGTCTACAACTCGCAGTCGACACCTGACACTGCATTAAGGGATAGCCACCTGCCACCTGTGTCATGTCACCTACCACCCAGCACTTGTCTCTCCACCGTTTTTGCTTTTGATGGACAAATAAATAATCTATTCCAACACCTCTAACTTTACTTTTGTGTTTTTGCATGGTTTGAGTGTTAGTCATTGAACATTACTTTGTATCTACTTATTTGACGTTCTCGATCACCATGTAGTAGTAGTTAAAAGTCATATTTTTGATATTAGTTATCTTAAAGTAAAGCTAAATATAAATGCACTTGTATCATATTAGACGTAGAAATCTGTTTATTCTCTTTTTTCGGCAACGCATTTTCATTTCGTATACCAATTGGAACTTCAGGAAAATCTGAATCCTTCATTACCGCAGTTCTTTCCGCTACACAGATCGCAGGTGAACTGGCATTCAAGCATGGATCATGAACATAAGGCTAGCTATATTTATGTATATTGCACTTTCCGTACTCGAATCTTAGCTTGCAAGGTGAAAGTCAATATACGGGTGTCCGCGTTTAATATAGTGTGTGCTCATATGTTCTATTTTTCAGATAACACAGGGTGTAAACGTTATGGTAGTCATTATTGAAATGGGTAATAGGGGAGGTCAAAGCAAGTCAAAAAGTTCATATGACTCATGGTCCAAAAGTCAATAGATTTTTGTCTAAATGGCTTTATAGTTTACAACTTTAAGTGCTTTGTATCGACCATAATCTCCACAATCTTACTAATTTTTATAATCTAATCTAAATCATTTTTAAATTGGGTAATTAACAAATAAATGGCATTAAGTTTTTCTAAGTTAAGCCAAAATTTGTAGTCAGTAAGAAAGTAAGTTTCATTAAATTTAATATTTAAAACACAAATGAGTCTTTCATCACTCTCATCGAACCGGCAATCGATCGCAAACGGTAACAGTGGTTAGTTATCCTTTTGCATAGTTTTGCGGCGTTGTCAGATTTACTGTAAAGTCGCTTTTCTCTAAAAAAATGCCGTCTTGACCCCCATGTTATATGGCACTTTTTGCTTCTCTTAACCCCCTCCCTCTATCACCCATTTAAATTATGACTATCATAACGTTTACACCCTGTATATTATACAAAGGTTGAGATGCTTGATTTTATTGAATTTTGTCGAAAATTTCAGAAAAGAGAGACCCGGCGGCTTAAGGATGAAATTCAGTGACACTTCTGGTGGACACTTCTAGATATCTTGTAGGCCTTAGGAGCAAAAATAGCCATGAAGTTCCAGTTTTCGCTTTGAGGTGGAATATTGGAATCATATCGGATTATGGATAATTGTAATTTTTTATCACGTAATGAAGGCTAACTATTTTCTTATTGAAATTCATTACGTTGATATTGAGGTAATCAGTAAAATAAGGAAATCTTATCTTGTCCCTCTGATTTTTAATTATCTTAGCGTCTAATTTTCAATTATAACTGGAGTAAAAAGAACTTTTTTTAGAAATGTTTTTCAGATTTGTCATCGTAGCAGTAAAATTTTCCAGATGTCGAAAAGATATATAAGAAATGGCGTCAAGTAGATTGACTATATACTTCATACGACTTCGTTGGAGGTTTCGAAGAAAAAGTATGAGTCAAATCGTTTCAAAAGGCGCAATGGAATCGTGATTAGGTAGGTTCATGTAGCTTCGTTGAACCGTCGATCTCTGCATATCAAATTATATAAAGCAAACCTATCACTTTTCTGTTTCCATGTCAGATATTTCGAAAATAGGTGAAACTTATTATGCTTAAAAGGAGCACAGTATCACTGAGATCAGCAGCTTCTTAATAATAGAAGTCTTCCACTGACACCAAACATGCAGCTGTTCCAGCGATTTTATTTTCGCCACCTCTGAATCAATTTTTAGAATCTACGACTACTTAGACGGTGGAAGTTTGCTTAAAGAGACACAAGTGAAAGTTTCTCATTTATGTTGGTTTGTCAGTCCGTGTCTGTTGTATATGAATGCGTCATAAGTACTAAGTCAAATTACTTGACGAAATATTCAGAGAACCATCATAGACGAAGTAACACAAATCAGAGGTTTGTTATATATAAAATTTAGAAATATATATATATATATATATATATAAATAGTCAAGTCATCATTTACGAAAGCATCGTAGAACGCTAATGTGTACGTACACCAAATATCCGAATATTGCTAAAATATACAAGGTATCCCGCATCGTTATGTTTATTTTTTAGAAGCAAAAAGTACACTTTTCAAGTAAAAAAAAAACGCAAAACTTCCATTTTTATTTATTGCAAAGTTACACGCCCATGAATTTTATTTGTAGATAATACTAAAAATAAATTAGTAAAGCAAATAAAAAATAATTTTATTTTAAAAAAGGTCAGTTGATGATACTTTCAAAATCACCACCTCTTTGCTGAATGCAGGTTTGTGCCCGTATGCCAACAGATTACGTAGTTATCCATATGTGGCCCCTGTTTTGTCGTATTTGTACAGCAGCCTGCTGAATACGCGCCAATAACTCTTTCCTTGTGTTTGAAACTTGCGCATAGACTAAAGCTTTCATGTACCCCCATAAATAACAATCAAGGAGATTGTGATAGGGTGATCTATGGGGCCAGGCAACAGGACCACCTCGACCAATCCGTCTTGGATAGGTGACGGTAACCCAATATCGGACAACAATTCCGAAATGCGGTGGAGCCCCATCCATTTGGAACCACATTAGGCAAATATTCAGTGGGACATCTTACAAAGGTCCGTGTAGTTCGTCCATAAGAAATAGAAGGTAACTGTCTGCATTCAACTTTGCACGAAGCACAACAGGACCAATCAACAAGCCATCGATTAGGGCAGCCCAAACGTTAATAGAAAATTAATGTTGAAAATTACATGGACGTACAGCTTTGGGTTTTTCTTATTCGCACCTATGCAGGTTTCTCAAATTTGCAAAACCACGCCTTGTGAATGTCGCTTCATCTGTCCAGAGGACTGTTCTGCAGAAATAAAAATTAAGACGGGACTGTCTTAATATCCAGGTCGAATACACTAGACATCCGCGGTACTCCGACTTGTCTACCGATTCGCCGTACACTGATAGTTGGATCCCTTACAACAGTATCTAATACTTGTTGATCCAAGTCTGCTGGCAAGTTCACTCCCCGATCGAAGAGATAATCACGCAGTCCGCATTCCCGAAATTGTCTGTGAACTTCCATACATGTTCTGTAATGAGGAATGCGTCTATTTGCAAACCGATGGCGATATTCGATAACTGCTTGTCGAGCACTGCCGTTGCAGTAGCTATTAACAAAATGCATTTCTGCATACTCTCCAGAAGAACATCGATAGGGGATTTTGATGAAGAAAAAGTCACTCACTAAGAAGCTGGGGCTGCACTTAACAAACATATATGTTCCGAGAGTAACTGCCTTGTTTATCATAAATCAGTTACGTTTTAATTTGTGATCTCCGACAAAACAATGTAGTAGTTTTTATTTACTTTACGACTTTATTTTCAGTATTATCTGCAAATAACATTAATGGGCGTGTAACCTTGAAATAAATAAGAATGGATATACAAGTTTCGCGTTTTTGTTTCTGGAAAAGAAGTGTTCTTTCCTCTCCCAAAATTTGAACATAACGATACGGGACACCTTGTATAAATATTTCTGTAGCCGTGTGTCAGTGACCACACCACCGCAGACCAGCTGGAGTTTGTTACCCATTGCATAGCCGGCAGTGGCCTCCATGATGATGCAGCATGGCGCCGTGGTCGCAACGTCTATGATTGCGAAGTTATGTCGAATTATGAACACATTATACAACGGACTTCCATCATTTATTTCTCCCGTTGTTACCGGACCTTAGTGATAAAACGTCTTTGACTAATTCTAATGACGTTACATTTAGAAACCCTTACCCCTACAACCCTCAACACTCAAGTTACAACCGATAAAACAATTTTTCGAAAACGATCAGTAGCCTCTGAAACGTCGAAAACGAGGTTTAACCGATTTTTATTATTTTTTTCTTGCTTTCGTCCATAGCTCCGCCACCACTATACCGATTTTCAAAAATTACAAACCTACTAACCTTGTTTGAAAATTTCATCAAAATCCGAGCGGTACTTGTCAAGTTATAGGCAGTTATAAAATTAGCGGATTGACCGACGGAATGAGTGTCAAAGTTTTTCGTGATGTCCATGACATATAATATCCAACAAGCATATTATCTCAATTTCGGATAGAAAGTGAAAATACATGTTCCTTGGTGTTTTTATGAAGAAGTATTTTCGGCCAATTAGGCCCGCATCGTCAGTCGTCCCTACAATTGTAGGGCACGTTTATGGCCTCCTTGATTGTCATACGCTTTCTCTCCTTCAAACATTTCTAGATTGCACCCGTCCCGTGTCAGCGTCAGCGCTCTCCTATTGTGAATATATGTTTTCTTTTTATACTGTAGGAAATTTCAGGCTGATAAAGCATGATATAACTCAAAAGCAAGCACAATTTGATGCAAATAGATTTTTGTGACATAACTTCAAAATAGAGCGCTGACACGGATAAGTAGAAAACTATTACAATCAAGGAGGCCATAAACGCGTCCTGCAATTGTAGGGAAGACTGACGATACGGGCCTAAAGTATTTTCAAGGCGCACCTCGTATTACGTAAACACGATGAAATATTACGGTTTCTGATGTATTCAAGTGAAAGTATTTCGCAAATGCCACGGTTAATAGGTACAAACTGGATGTTTATATGACTTTTTTGTTCTGGAAGCTATCCTCAGTAAACAGAATAATAAATACAGGTAAAACTTCCAATTATACGATAAATGTGACACATACGAAACTGAAAATAAGAATGTCTTTTCTTAAACATTCACTGATGGCACTACTTTTGTTGTATGAATGCATCATCCATCATCTCTATTGAAAACCTTGAAAATGGACTAGTCGACTAAATTACTTCTTTTTATCGCCAGTTCTCCATACTCTATTTAGTAATTAATTAATTCATTTCAACATAGTACGGGCATAAACATCTTATTTCTTCATTCAAGACGTATGTATATATGAACCTTGCATCTCAGGTGGCAACAGCAAAATAGAATGTGAGATGGAAATCTTGACCATTCATGAATATTTCTCTACCAGAAGCGGACACCTGCCTTGAAATGGCTCATTATATTTTCAAACAAGTGCAATATTAATTAAATATATGTCAGCAAAAAATTGTCCTTTCCTTCACAGCTCGTATCCAAATTAAATTCATAATGCACATGGTGCCTAGCGAAATAATGTTACAATTAAGTTTAGTAGAAAGTCAATTTATCTGACCTCCATACATATCATTTATAAATAGCCCATAGGCTGCTCATATTGCATTACTTCGACTTTGCTATTGTTCATTGTTTACAAATGTAAG